CATCTTTTAATAATTTTCTAGTTTAATATATTTTTCTCAATAAAAGAAAAATCTTCTTGTTTTATCATTTGATGACGAGTATATTACACCAATTACTCTAACTTTTGATTATTTGACCTTGATACCCAATCCTCCTAGCATTTTTCTCATCTATGCCCCAATTGGTTTGACAAAGGTAATTGAACTAATTGAGACAGTAGATTAAGGATCAATGATCCAATTATAGTTTAATTGAGATTGACACAGTCATAATTAAAATAATTTAATTTAATTAAACCATATAAAAATATTTATATAAATTTTTGAAAACAGTAATATTTAAATAAAAAGAATTAATCCACGAGTAAATGAAATATTAATGTGTAAACAACATATAATTCAACAAAACAAAAGTTATCAAAAGCATGAATTTGACGAACTGTTATTTATATGTTTTTTAACTAACAGTGACATCATTTCAAGCTCAACAAAAGGATAACAAATTAAATCTAACTCAATCAACTCGTCCGAAACTTTTGACTACATCGGGTAAAAAACTACTTCACTAATTCATTTGTCTGACCAACAAACATAGGTAGGATTTGAATTTTGAGAATAGGGCCCAATAGGAGAAAACACGAGGTTTAAATGGGCCGGGTTGTACGAACGGCCCACAGATGACAAGAAAATGTGGAGGGTTTGTCCCCTACTCGGCAATCTCGCAAGGGCACATGCTGCTACAAACGCAATGGATGAGGGACCTTGTCATCATCATCATGGTCCCCACAGCTACTTGGTCATTTATGCCCTTGCCAAGTATCTTCCTTTCTTTAATGCCACACAATGGTAGGTTTCAGTGATCATAACTACTCATAAAAGTAGTTAACTACACCAACTAATTTTAACCATAAAAAAAAAAAAACGAAGTATTCTGTTGTGCCTGTACTTTCTTTTGTTTTATTGTGTATGGTAGTGTGTTTCATACCTTCTCCCATCGCAATAGTTGAATTTTTAGCATTTGTCATAATCAATCCGAGTTCTTAATTTTTTTTTTAAGTATTGTAGATGTATTATGTATTGACCGTTCTAAAATTTATGTAAACTTTGTATTCTATGTGCTTTTGATCTTAGCCCTTCTCATTCTAAATCTCAACTTCTTCACTAAATATAATATATTTTTTTGATCTTATTTATAAGTCACTTTTAACATGTTTTATTAAAATTAAAAAAAATTAAAATTCATTAACTCTATCAACTCTACCCATATTACATATACATATTTTAATAACATATTTTCTCTTTTCACCATTGAATAAAGAGTAAAAGAAGAAATTTGTGTTGAAAATTTAATAATGTGACTTATAAATAAGACAAAAAAAAAATCTCTCTCTACCTATAAGTAGGACCAAAGGGAGTATGTATACTATATCTCTCCAGTTCTAAATATATTATATATTTAAATTAATAGGAATTTACAAAATTAGGTAAGCAAGTCATTTGTCAAATATGTGTACTAGGTTTTCATAAATGCCCTTCCTTTTAATAACTTACACTACAGTTTTATTAACATAGTTTTAACATAGTTTATACGTTATACATGAATCTAACTATTGGGGTAGTTTGAAATAAATAAATAAATAAATATGGAAGATATGAAAGATTTTTCTTGATCTTCAAGACATTTGAGATTAATATCTTAAATTTAAGATTTGAGGCAAACTCCTAGCTAATTTATAATTAAAACTCTTGAATCTGTAATTTATTTAAATTGATATTTATAATTTATTTTTTAAAATCTTGTTGGGATTTATTTGTTATTAATGTGCTCTTTTAGGACTTAATAGTAATTCTCCCTTAATAATATTAGGGTAATAATAAAATTATCAATAATAAACCATTTTATTTGGTTTAGGCAGCACGGGTGAAAAATAGTGGTCAAAAGTTCAAACCTTTCTAATTAAAAAAACTAATTTAACAAAAATTATTTCTATTTTTATATTGAAAAAATATCCATGATTGTGTGTGAGTCGTGTGGTCATTATTCATTAGCATTTATAATTCTATTTTGATGCCGACTAAAACAACTTTCTCAAATGTTCACATGTGTTCGCCTTGCCGTGTCAAACATGTCATTGCTGAGAGGTTCTGTCGATGCATTTCCTGCAAATAATTAAAATATATATACATACATATATATATATATATATATATTGCAAAGTGGTTTCGTGGAAGATAATTATAAGACAATGAAATAGCAGTGTCAGAGATAATTATGGAATAAAAAAGAAATTTGGTCTTAGTCTAAGCATTGACTTGGGATTGGAATTGGTGGAAGAAGATGAGAAAAAAGAGAGGGTACAAAAAATCGTACCTCACTCGTTTCCACGAAATTAAGTACAAGTTAAAGACTTCGTACGCACATATTGCCTGTTTCTTCGTTCAAACTTCCTCACTGCAATTATCAAGTATCAATTTTCCGGGAAATCAATGATTCTATTCAAATATTCAACGCTTACAATTAATTTATTTTCTCTTCTTCCACTAATAATAAAACCAGTAGATTTCAAAACTTGATTTTGTAATTCACAAAATAATGAGTTCAAATTTCATGATTAATATGAGAATCTTATTGATGAGTGATTTATAAATATATCTACAAACATTCTTTGAATCTTAATTCAACTATCCTAAACTTTTGATTATAAAAAAAAAGTTGACATTGGTTCAACTAATGAAAAAAATTGAATCAGCTTATTTTAAAATATCAAATTTGAACTTTGAGTAATGCAGTCAGGTTAAGTAAATATGTTAAGGACATCACTGAAATAGCCATGAGTCAATAGTAATAATGTATTCACACAGCAAGTTTGCATTCATTTGAGTTGAAGGTAATAATAGTCCTAGATTTTCCAGAATATGATATAAGAGAAAACTAATCTCATCTATTTTTATTTTTTTTTTTGGGGAAAAAGATAAACATACACTTGCATTTAATTTAAGTGACATATGATTGTCGTTAAATCATCACGAAGGTTCCTACCATATATATATATATATATATATAATCTTGAAGGTTCACATTAAAATGGGAGAAATGTGTTGGCCTTAAATTATAGGGTTGATTTTTTATCACCTGATGGAGTCGACGTCCTTCAAGCTTTGAATAAGTGAGACATATTTTAGGAAATTGTTCACATTAGAATTGGAGAAATGTGTTAGTTTCAAAATAGAGTTAATAAATTTTCGCCTGAAGTTGATATCCTTAATAAGACTTCAAATAAATGAAATATTTTTTTTGTGGCCAATATTTGAATAGGCTCTGCAAATTCTTTTTTCCCCTGTTGTTTTCCCTGTCCAATTAACACAATCATCATTAGATTAAAAAAAAAAGACTAATTCAAAGTGGGTAGTTTGTGATCAAAATGGTTTTGATATCACAATTAAACATATGATCATATATAATAGGAATGAGATTAATGGGTGGAGTAATTGTAGTTTGTGAGGAAAGTTTTCTAATTGTATTGCTCAAAATTACAGTTTTGGAGGATTGGCCGAGAAAGTCAGCTACGAAACTAAGATGGGTTGGTGTATTGGGCTTAGCCCTCTTTTTGTAAAAAAAAAAAAATAAAGCTTTTTGGGTTCAAAAGATGGGTTGGTTTGCTGGATTCTCTCACCTCAGGTCTCGTGGTGGGTTCATTTAGTTCCTCGAGGGAGTCTTGCCGTTGCCGTGCATTGGGAAGGAAATGTTTGGATCTCTATTTTTGAACTCCATCTTTCCTGATCCTATATGTTGCTATCTTTTTTTTTTGAATTACAAAAGCAAGCAGTAGCTTGAAAAGAAATGAAAAGGACTAATTACAATTGCCCTTGTCTGACAATAAGATATCAAAACAGCTTGGTCAGCAATGCCATATTAACATAATGTTTTCACCCACTCCATGGGCATCCCAAAAAATTTATTAAAGTCTGGTTCATGGTGAGATCTCAATCACTATATATCAGCTCTCTAGTTTGAATCATTATATTTTTGAAGGTAGGATTATTGCAGCCATCTCTGAAAAGTATGTTTACTGCTTCCAAAGAGTCAGAGAACATATTGATCTTTTTAAAATTTTGTTGTTTACATACCTCTAAACCAGTCTGTACAGCTCATATCTCAGTAGCTGTGACAGATATACCACCTAGCTACCACTTGAATCCAAGTATTCAATCCCCATGTTCATTTTTGAGAATTTCCCCACATGCAGCATATTTTTGTTGATTGACAGAGGCATCCACATCCACACGTATTGCTATCTTTTGCTGTGGTAATTGCCGCTAGCTGTTATGTCTTCATCGGTAGGATTTAGAGTTTATTAATAATTGTGATTTGATTTGCTTCTTGTTTTGTGTTTCTCAATATTTGTGTCGCTTTGTCTCTTTATTGCTTTGCTCCCCAAGATTTCTGACTGAAAAATAGAGGGGGCAAACTGTATGGCTTAAAAAGTATAATAACTAATTAACGAGTTTTACTTCAAATTAACATGGATTAAAATGCATAAAATTTTAAAATAAAAGCTAGTGAATTAGAATTTAGAAGATAAAGATTTGATTTTATAGAGATCCTCATAAAACAAGTTAAGGACAAAGGGTGAGCATGAAGTAAGGGGATTAGTCAGTTGTCACTCTTCTAGGCAAAACCACATTAGAAGAGGTCCTGACAGAGAGACAGGAAGAGGAACCAAGTTTATGAGAAAAAGGGTCCGCAGTAGTGAAGAGACAGAAACAAATGCACACATGTGAAAGGATATATTAAAGTGGATACTGTTTAGAGTCATTATGCTATCACAAGAAGACACATTAAATGGAGATTGATTGAATCACTTTTTGCGGTTGTATGTGTTTACAGTTGATTGTATTTTGAGAGCATATTATACTCTTATGAGTAAAAGATTGTATTTTTGGAAGTTTATCTCTATGCTGGAAGCTAATACTATAAATTTGTTGAATTATATATCAATTAAATCCAAAAAAGAAACATACTAGAAAATTTCTATTTAAAAAAACAAAAAAAGAAAGAAACGCACGGTGCGTTTCGGAAGCAACTGCAGAAGAAGAGGAGCTTCCTCTTTTTCCTCAGCGAGTAGCGTAAAGCTGCTAGGGTTTTGGTGTTAGGCTTACAGTTACAGACTTACAGATTACAGTTAAAATTCCTTGCATCAGACTACTCAAACCTTCAAGGGAATACGCAGCATTCTCGAGTCTCAACAGCAAGTATTTCTTCTATATGCTCTTCCTCCTCCTGGACTGTCTTCGTTCCAGCTTCTCAGTCCTCCGAGCTTCATCTGCTTCGCAAATTTCTTGTATCTTCAGGTATTGGACTACGGATTGCCCCTTCACTCTGTCCCTTTCCTTTCGGTACTCCGAAGCTTTATATTCTAATGCTACTCAGGTGCCTGATTTTCTTCTCTTCTTTTGGTTTTCTGTTTGAAATTTTATTTGTGGTGAAACAGGATTATTTGTGAGTTCATCTGTGAGGGAGTCCCTGATAGTTTATGTGCAAAATTGATCTAGTATTAGTTGTGGGATGAAATGAGTGATTCATCTATTTCGGGAAGATTTACGCGGGTACCATTTACTTTAACAGTATATAGAAGTGTGTAATGTTAGTTTTTTTCCACGAACTTTGAAGACTTTGCTTTTTTAGAGCCCCACATGTTTCATTGGTTTCCTTCTGTTCTTCATTTTGTGGCAGATCGTTTAACTTTTCGGGACTGTGCTGAAGAATTTGAAGACTTCCAACATGCTTGTTTGTAATCCTGCTAATAAGCTATCTTTTAATCGATTCATTAGCAATGGCGATTTGGTTATTGTTTATGAGAGGCATGACAGCATGAAGCCAGTAACGGTGTCTGAAAACTCTGTCCTCCAGAATCGTTTTGGAGTTTTCAAGCATTCTGACTGGATAGGAAAGCCATTTGGTTCCAAGGTGTTCAGCAATAAGGGTGGTTTTGTATACTTGTTGGCTCCTACTCCAGAGTTATGGACTCTTGTATTAAGCCATCGGACTCAGATTCTCTATATTGCTGATATTAGCTTTGTAATCATGTACCTGGAGATTGTTCCTGGTTGCTTGGTGATGGAATCTGGAACTGGAAGTGGGTCTTTGACCACGTCTCTTGCAAGGGCTGTTGCTCCTACGGGACATGTCCATACGTTTGATTTCCATGAACAAAGAGCTGCATCAGCTAGGTAACCATAAAGATAATATTCACATTCTTACATTAGAAATTGCTATCTCATTTTTTTTTTTTTTGGATATACGGTATGTCTGTTTTTATCTTTTACAGGTCTACTTGTTTGTTTTATTAGCTTCAGCTATGTGGTTTGCATGTAAAATTTTCAAGCCTTATATTTCTTGAAACAAATAATTATATGCTTCTGTACTAGTCGATCTAGCAATCTCTGCCATTTTAAGGGCGCTTACTTCTGTTAGAACTCTACACACGATTTAAAATGCATTTGATAGTTACAGAGTGTGTCTGAGTGTGGGTGGGAGAGAAAGAGGTTTACATTACTATTATTTGTTTTATGAGGTTTACATTGTGATAGATAAACAATTTTGGGTCAGATGTTCACTTGATCCATATCTCATTTCAGGGAAGATTTTGAGAGGACGGGACTAAGCAGCTTGATCAGTGTGAATGTGAGACATATCCAGGGTGAGGGATTTCCTGATGAATTTGCTGGTTTAGCTGATGCTGTATTTCTTGATCTACCCCAACCTGGCTAGCCATTCCTTCAGCTGCAAAAATGTTAAACAGATGGAACTTTGTGCTCATTCTCTCCATGCATTGAACAAGTACAACGATCATGTGAAGCACTCCAAACCAGCTTCACAGGTACCTTTGTGTTCTTTCTTTAATTCTTTGTGTGTGTGCATGTAAAAGGATCTATTTAACTCGTACGTTTTTTTTTGGTTTTGGCATATGTATAGATATAAGGACATTTGAGGTGCTCCTGCGAACATATGAAGTTCGAGAAGAGAGAATGGATGGGATTGTAGGGGAAGGGAATGCTGCTAATGGTTCTCTTCCCTGCAAGAGAAGGCAATGTTCTGATGGAAGCAATGTGCTTAGCAGTAGCAGTAGTGTTTCTACTGTTATGGCTAGACCTAATGGTGAAGCAAGAGGTCATACAGGCTATTTGACATTTGCAAGACTCAAATGCCTCTCATGAGCGGTGGTAGTGCACTTGTTTCCTTCCAATTTTGTGACAGATATAAAGCTCTGTATTTAATTTTAGCCTCAGGTAACAATTCTTTGTTCAATCTAATGCTTTTCTCGTAGGAGAAAATTCTGATAGATGCTTCTTGGCTTCAACCTGCTTCAAAATTAGTGCAATAACTAGAAGTGAAAATTGGTTTTCCATATGTCAAACCCATTTAGTTAGGTTCGGTTGTTAATTTGAGTATTTTTGTTGATTGAATTATGCATTAATGATATGATATTCTTGAGATATTTGAACTAATATGTTTGAGAATCTCTCAACTCTCTGGCAAATTTTTTTTTTTTTGACCTTTTGAAGCTGTTGGTCCAATTAGAAAGTTAGGTTTGTGTTGTGTGTTAGTGCCTGTGGACTGTGGTAAACGAACTCTTTGATCTTTTATGCACCAAACTATACAGTTTATACTTGTGCAAGAGCATTTTTATACCATAAGAGACTCAAACCATTCAGTGATTCCTAGGCTTGGGCCTTTTAGGCATTCTACTCTATTCCATTCTCCCCTAAAACAATCTCCCAAACATGGTGTAAAGTTCCTGTTCAAACTTGTACTTTGAATGTTAATGAAAGCCTTTTTGAATATAGGTGGAAGGAAATTCTTGTTCGTTGATATTAGAACACCACGTGATGCCACTCGACCGAGAAATTAACGATTTGTAAAGTAAGAATAAATTAAATTGACGTTGCCTTGCAAATATTAAAAACTGAAAATTTTTAACTTTCTCCCTCTTGAAAAAACAATTGCATCATGCAAATCCATTGTCCTAGTTTGGCGGAACACACATATAAGCAGTGAATTAGCAGGTTGTTAGGCACTAGTAGGATTTCATCCGTCGCAATGAAATCATACAAGGATGTAATGTGTTAACTGTCTAAAAACAAGAACATTATTCATGTTAAAATGAAAAAAGTTTTAAATCGACATTGCATTTTGTTTTATAATTAATGAGTTTAAATAAAAATAATATTAAAAAATTTAATTAATATTTTATCAAATATGCGGCTCATGCTGCTGGTTGTAGAGATACCTTAGGGGG